ATATTATTATTATTATTATTTTTTAATTTAAATTTATTTACAGTTACATAATGAAAAGAAATACAATCACTAAACGTAGACGGATGGAATCAGCTGAGGGCGGACTTGTTGAAATTGAACGATTTAAAAGCTGTGCGAGAACGTATATTGTTAAGTACAAGGAAGAAATAATAGACTACAATGTATTTTTTAGTTATGTTTCTGAAATGTTAATTTCTAGGTTAACACAATCAAGCCAGCAGGCAACAATTAAATTAAATTTATATGTTGATAGCACGTATGAACAACTATTAACGAATGAAGTACAAGATATGTCGTTTAAAACTTCAAACGTATTAGCATGTAAATCATCCAATTTTAATACTTTATTAAACAAAATGTTTAACAAACTATTATCTGAGGAAGCACAATTTATATCAAAAAAATCAGGCTGGTCACTTAAATCTATAGATTGTCTACAATTACAAGTTAATAAAGTTAATCCTCTTAAAGGAGGAAGCACATATTTAGATTTACCTAGTCATATAAAAAAAAAAAGCAGTTATAAATATAAAAAATAATGATAATGAATGTTTCAAATATTCAATACTATCTAAGTACGATAATCGATTGAATAAATCTCGGTTTAACAAAAAATATTTTGATATGTTAGAAAAAAAAAGTGGGTTTAATTTTAAATGTATTGATTTTAAATTATCTATACTAGAGTGGTTGACAAATGATTTACTTCACCTTCCGTTTAACCACCCCAAGATCAAGCCATGTACGGTTGCGCATAATATTATATGAGCGATATATTATAAGTCCACGCCTCTCCGTTTCGACTAGTTACGAATTATATTATAGTATTTATCTATTCACTAACAGCTCGGTGTTATATGCCTGCGGATAATGTTATTTGTTCTGCATCGTGATATGGAAATAACCGAATACACACTGAAATAAACGTGCAAGTGTGCAACCATGTAGACGTCTCTGCGGCAAACACCGCGTCGTCAGTTTGAGCTTCAGTGGTAGGTAAACATTAATAGGTAGTATTGTTAAAAATCGTGAGTAGTACTTAGAAGACTCTCCAGGCGTGTTATTCGCACACTCCACACATAGAGTCGGTATATTATACTGTAATACTAATATACTATATAGGTGATCCGAGTTCTAATGTTGGACTCGATGGCGTATAATTGTACACCCCAATTTTTTGTATACAATAATATTTATTAAAATTAATATACATATCATCAGCCTAATTCGCAATATTGTCCTAACTCCAAAATGTGATTTTGGAATTAATTTTGATTAAAATTAAGGAAAAAACTGCATTGTATGATAAAGTTGTAACTGATAAATCGTAACATTTTATCCTCAATATGACATTGATTATTAGAAATGGTCGTATCTCCGATGTGATGATTTTAACAATTAGAAAAATTCCAGCCGGTGCATTACCTAAACATATACACTAATATAAGCATATTATACACTAATATAAAAATGTTAAATAAATACTTTGATTAGAAGGTCCAGCTTGTATATTGTCAACGAAAATATTTGGGGCTACTTCAATCATATTCTGATGCTTACCTAGAAAAAAAAAATGTTTTTATATAAATATAAATAGCTTATATAGTTTATCATACTTTTTTCGAACTCATCCATCACTTTATCATAATATTCGTTGTCGTCGTCTTCAAACATTATATCATCTAGCAAAATAATAATATTAATATTTGACACTAAGTATATAGATAATTTTTCGTACTTATTTCATTATTTTCGGCATTATCCAACGCGTTATCGCCGTCGTCGTTTCTAAACGTTATATTATCATCTAGGAAAATAATAATATTAATATTTGAACACGAAATATATACACAGCTACCCCGAACTGTTTGCTCGGACGGTAATGCGTAAGAATTGTCTGAGAAATGTTGCAGGGGCTAAACATTGCCTAAACGCAACTCCTTAAAAAGGATGCAGGGTTGAAAACTACGTATTGCCCCACGGGTAAAAAATATTTTTAAATTGTACTTGCCATGATTTTTTTCATATGTTTTCGTAGATAACCATGCATATTTTGAGTGTGTCTTTTAAGACTATCATTTCGAACAAATAAAACACCACAAACCGAACATTTGAATTTTTTTTTTTCATGACTCTTTAAATGTCTGGTTAAACTATCTTTCCGAGAGAAAAAGGATAAACACTTATTGCATTTAAACATTTTTGAACAAATATTAGTATACGCACGCTATAACGTCTGAACGGTAGTTTACAAGTTGGCAGACTGACGCTTGTCAAGTGATGATTATTATTATAAAAAGAATCTTTTTTGAGTGGTAGGGGTAAACATCCTTGGAAGGGATGAAGGTTAAACATCCCTGGAAAGGTGAAATGTTATCGAATGACCGTATCATCCTTGGTCTGCACTGAGGTATTACAAAAGATTCTTTTGCCCTTGACAGGGGGAGTAAATAAATTACAGTTGACCTGTCTGATTATACGAAAACTATTATGTAGAGTTTAGAGTTAAATTATAAAGTTACGTACAAACAGCACGGGGTCCGCGATCTACCGTAGGTAGATTGCCTACCTGATAATATACTGCTGAGAATCAGAATTTTTATTCTGAGCAACAGAAAAGTTAAGATAAATCTAGAACATCATACCCCAAATATTAAATAATGCATTGAACAAAGTTTGAGTCATATACAGTTTTTACATTTAACGGGTAACGAAGTGCACGGGATCAGCTAATATAATATATTATAGTTGTATATTATTACCCTATGGATTAATAAATTAATTACGTGATTAAAAGTCACCGACAAAAAAGCCATGGACAAAAAAGTTTACGAATAAAAAAGCTACGGGATAAAAATCTATGGACAAAAAAAACCACCGATAAAAAATCCATGGATAAAAAAGACACAAATTTATTTTTGTGCTAACAATGTATTATTATTTATTTCAAAATGTAATACAATTAATATAATTTAAAAAGGTTATTTCTAATTATAAGAGAAATATTTTGAAAATTAAACTATGTGAAGAAAATAACAAAATACGTGTCTTTTGAATTTATATTAGGTACACATTTTAAATCTCCCTAATATTATTAGTAGACTATCTAACTATTCATCTTTTTATTTTTGTACATATGTAGTATATTATATTATTATTTATTGTAAATCTAAAATATTATATTTAACATCGAAACTCAATTATTACGAGTTTTGATATCGAAACATAATGGATAATTTATTACCTTTTTATTAAATTGTTTTAAGTACTTTTAATGTAAGATTGACCTAACTACCAGAGTAACACACTATTATAAATATTATAAGAATTCTCATAGTATCTATGACCTATGTACACAACTTGTTCGTTTCTGGTAATGATACACAGTCACACGGGCAACACGTTTGCTGTGGTGGGGTTATGTATATACTATTATAAATTCTTCGTGTAATATAGGTATTAGAAATTATATTACTATTTATTATTAATAGATAATAAGACATAACGTTGTTGATTGGTTCAAAAAGATATTTCGTAGATGATATTATTGTTAATAATCATTGTATTTTACTGTAGATTCCTAAGATTAAAAATGTTTATATTAATATTAGTATTAATAATTAGTTTTATTCAATTTCACACACTCCCATTGATATTGTCTATATATTATTTGTAATTATTAAAGCTAATGAAATATTTTTACATAGTCTTTAATATAGCTTAAACGAGTTTAATATTAGTATATTATATTATCTTTATAAATTATACTAAATAAGAAAAAAATGGGTTGTTGTTTGTCTCTGACCTTTTTTTATATATCATGATATATATTCCCCCTTAAACTTTATTTAATGCAGTTTTATACCTATATAATTCACACACGTGTTCATATTTTATACATAATAATGCTTACTTAATAAAATAATACTGACCATCGGTTGTTATCTCGTTAAATTTATATTTCTCAGTAGAGTTTATCCATCATCGCAAAACCTATATAGGTTACTGTTTACTATTCTCACCTTTTGGTTATTATCATTATTATTTTTTACCTTTTCATTATTATCAATATTTCATTAACAAAAAAAAAAAATTTTAATCTAAAAAATGAAAAGACTCTTTTACATGCATGTTATAATATAGCCAATATTTTGGGAGCTGCCGAATGGCTTAAGGCACCGAATGCGACGCACACCGGCGCCAGTTCGAAATCGACCGCGTTTTTCTTCGGGCAAGTCATGGTGTCCGGAGAGAAGTACTGCCATCCCACACTCGGACATGACATATAGGTATACCTACGGGTGTCCACTTGAAAATTCTGCCAAACCAAAATACACGTGTTGATAAACCTACAATTCCTCCCCTACAAACAAAAACAAACAGTTAATGGCCATAATTGCCAGGCTTCATGATCAATAAAAAAATAAAAATAAAAAAAATATAGCCAATAGCCATAATATAATATAAGTTTATAACTATATTAAGACGTATTCCTATAAACCTTGTAACTAATATAGCTTCTCTGTTTATTCATACCTACAACATTGTACCATGTACTGGTTACTTCATAAGTACCTACATAATGATAACATAATATATTATTATATATATTATATTATTTTTGGTATGTAATAGGTAAGTACATAATAATAAATTAATAAAAAATCCACTAAATTATAATTAATAGGTATTATGTATTATATTATATATAAGATTTCCATTCTTGAGATAACTACTTACTACTTGGAATATACAGCTATACCTACTTGTTGGTACTGATGGTAAGCGGATATCAGAGTGAGTTTTTTCAGTTTTTCAAATTTTTCCAAGGAGAGTGGCATAATTCGATGACAAAAAAAACCACGCTAACAACACATATCGCGCTTGCGCCGAACCCGTTCGGTATTGTATATTATTTATTACGTTATGAAGCGACAAGTTCGATTGTGTAGTGTGCTCTGCGACCAGTCTCTCGGCCGATGCATCAAGACACCGCGGCCGCCGCTTTTTTAAGGAGGAATATGGTGCTGCAACTTATGCTGTTGATGTTCTCCTTGTCGTCGTTTCCATCGGTCACAGCCGAGTGCCCAGACAAATGCACGTGCGTCAAAAGCAATGTCCGCTGCGCTTACCAGGAACTGGACCGGATACCCGACCTCATATCTCCCGATACCACCGACCTGTAAGTAGACTATACGGAAGATAATACCAAAGTTAAAAAGCCGGGTGTCGCGTTTGGATATGTACATAGTAATTTACTTTGCCCGAGTATTGAGAAATTTAATTTATCAATAATTTTGTTAACGCCAGTGGCATATTTGTGGATGCAAGGTGGGCATTTTCCCGTTTTTTTATTCAACGCCATTTAAATTGTATTTAAAATATGTGAACTATACTGTTATATTATAATTGGTAACTTTTGAAAATAAAACTATATACATTTTAATCTAAATCAAAGTAATTACATTTAAAAAATAATTTAACCCGTTTCCCACACTACTGAATATTGCTCAAATACGTCACTGTGTTATGAATTATGATCTTTTGGATATTATAATTCGAGTGGCGTATACTCCTTTTCACGATCTCAAAATCGTATTACATCGTATCACTCATTTCGCAAGGTATTATTGCTGGCGCACTTCCCCCCCTCGATTATGTAGAGAAATAACTAATGACCATCGACCTGGGTCCTGCAGTTTAAACTTATAAAGACGTATCAACGCTACACGCGTATTATGTTCTAAGAAATATTTAAACCATAAAATACTAAAATCGACGAAACTGCGAAATAAATCATAAAATATTTCATAAAACCACCGGATATAAGACAATAATAGGTTTATAAACTCAATAAGATGAGTTTAAAATATAAAAGTATAGGTAGGTATCAAATAACTGTTAATAACTGGCGAAATTTGGGATATGTTTGAAATAGGTAATAAGGAAACTTATAAATCCGATAGCTGTTTTCTCTCGAAATAATTTTAATTATTAAACGAGTGTTTTTAAAATGTAATATATTTCATGATCAATAATTATATTAAATTGTAATTTCGTTGTTAAGTCAGTGGTCCGCTTAACATATATAATATCGTTTGAAATAATTCATTTGTGACTATCCGTGTAGTCACATTGCCCACGCCCAGTGCATATACACCGAATTCTGTGTACGTGTTATCTTTTTAACTTTTAAGTCAAAAAATGAACATAATAGGATTAGGGAACAATTAAAATTTGTTTATAATAACAAGAGCCATAACGCGTGCATTCTTCGATATTAATGAAAACAATAATTATATCGGCATTACACGTCATGATCTATATCCGAAGGTAATTAAGTACAAAAAAAAATAGAAAAACAAGTAAAATAATTTCGATAACACAAGGGAAAATAATATTATAAAATAATCATATATTTTGTATGAAAATAATTAAACAAATTGTATTCTATTCCAGGGACTTGAGATTTAATAAAATTAGGGATATCGAACCGAAATCATTAACTCATCTGACAGAGCTAAAGATCTTGTGAGTTATAATATACCTAATATAAACATTTTTAAATGCATAGACTTTATTAATTGATTATGATCCAGAATGTAAACATATTTTCAGGGATTTTATCAACAATATAATAAGTGATCTGAAAAATGGTGCATTTGCAAACCTTTCGAAGCTTCAGATATTGTAAGAATATAAATTAACAAATAGCTAGTGATTATATTTATTTATTTATATAATATTATTAGCTATAAATTATATAATAAATTATTTATTTACTAGATACTTGGATCGAAATACAATCAAAAGTATCGAGACTGGGGTTTTTAATAACTTAACGACCTTGGAAGAATTATGGTTGGGCTCCAACAGTATTCATACGCTCGATTCGGAAATGTTTAAAGGACTTACAAAACTGAATACACTGTAAGTATTAAACGCATTTTTTATGTGATCGTATTGTATAGCTGAATGAAAATGACATTCTATATTTTATAAATAGGTATTTGAGCGACAATATGATAAGAAATATTCCACCTGGGATATTCGATTCATTAACGTCGTTGAGTATTTTGTAAGTCAGCATGAACTTCGTACATCATATTATTAATATTATAATAATTGTTAAGTTTCATTATTTTAATTATATATTTGTCTAAGCAAAACATTAATGCTTTCTACTATAGACGGCTTGACAAAAACCCGTTGACGTGCGATTGCGATATGCTGTGGTTTGTAAATGTGCTAAAGAAAATACGAGATGATAATTGGTTTCACGATCGGAATTGGGATGCGACGTGTCATTTTCCCATAAAAATTAGCGGGAAATCGCTGGTAGAAATTACCGAAAACGATTTTCAGTGCGGTGAGAAAAATCATTCTTATTGAATAAAAAGACATAAAATATATCATAACATAATAGTATATTGTCTGCAACAGCTTTGCAGTACCTATTTAATGTTGTAAGGCCGGCAGTGCGTTTCGCCGTAATGGATTATAATTGTTTGACAGATATTGTTGGGAATGAGTTGTTTTATTTAATAATAAAGTGATTTTGACGTATGTATTATATATATTGTTGTACATACAGCGTCTCCGGATGTAATCGAGGTACCAGAGAACAAGACGGTGTCGGTCGGTGAACAGTTACAACTCTCGTGCAAAGCTGTAGGAAACCCGGCACCTTCTATAACGTGGGCCAAAGACGACATCGACCTAGAACTTGGCCAAAGAGTTCAGGTAAGATTATTTTAAGATATGCGGTAATTGATATTTCGAGAAAATCCGGTGAATAATCAGCTTATATATAATCGTGCACTGTTGTTAAAAAATGTTCTATTCATTTTTTACTTTCATTCATTGCATAACCTCAAACTTTTTAGGAATAATTTTCACAATAATTATGCACCCCTAAACATTTTCTATTTGATTCAATTGTATTCCTGCTCCTCAACCCATAAAGAATCTAGGAAAAAATTCTCTAACCAAAATCTGTGGTTTGTAATATTTGTGTATGTCATCACCTTTTAGGACAGTAAAAGTGCTTAGGTTTCTTTCAACAGTATCTTTTCAGATAGGAAAGTGAATCTAAGTTGGTACTTTGGGGGTTCAAAATCCACCGGGAAAAACAAAAAAAAAACAGGAGTTTTGGTTTTTAGTGTAACTCTAAAAGAAATGACCGTAAATACATGACATTTTGACTGAATGTTTATTTTAGCATTTTCTTTACACCATAACATTTTCAAAATATTTTGTAGGTGTACTACTTTATAATATTTAGTGTAATATATTTCAAGTTACTGTACTGTCGATTAAAATATTAATCAATATTTTACTACTTACTGCAGGTATTTCAAAACAATACATTGATTATATCTAAAGTGGAAAGAACGGATGGCGGTCAATATAAGTGCGTGGCGTCCAATTCTCTTGGACAAAAATCTTTCGAGGCGATGGTTAAAGTAAACGGTAATATCGTGTATATCACTATATAGTCGTACATAATTATTATATTATCATAAGAGTTCTAAAACATAAAAACTAAAAAGTGAACATCGTCTGTGAAATACTTTTTTTTTCGAAATCAGACTGCCTACAAAAAAAGTTATTTAAGTTTGAAAAACACAAAAATAAAGGACTTTGAAACAATATCAACGTTTTTCGTATAAGTGATCACTAAAATTTGTAATCATTTTAATTTTACACGTAATACAACACAATAACTGGACGGATTTTAAGAGAAATAGCTTAAGTCAGAACTTGATACTTTTCAGGAGACACAAAAAACATTATAACTTTGTAAATATTTAATGTTTTTAAATCTTTTATTCATAATCATGTTTAATATATATATATATAAGTTTTGTTATTTTACTATTAAGTATATTTTAGTATTTATTTATTTTCTTCAAATTATAATGACTTATGCGAGCTATTGCATATTATACCTGTTTGACTTGAGCCCTCCCGCATCATGACTGAAGACCTATTGCATGTAATTTTATGAGACTTATGCCCTTAATGGCTTTGTCATTAAAATAAGTTAAAATTAGTGACTTAGGCCTTTTCTAATAAAAAAAAATTCTGTATAATTACTTTGTAACAGTACACCGTCATACATATAAAACGGTCCACCAATCAGGGCCCAGAACGGTAGCACAGCCCGGCGGAATGACTTTGCGCCCTCAGTACGAGGGTCCGGGGTTGTTCCACACTCTGGAAAACAAGGGATCCAAAGGTGAGAACAAGACCCATCGAACAAAACCATCCCCATACCTAGAGCCCCAAAACTGTGCGGACGCCACCACTTCCCGCACAGAACCTAAACACAACGACAGCGGCGGCAACACGGGAGTTTACTAGTCGGTACGGGGCCGGGTATATATACCGGACGTTTTCACCGCACCGAGAATCAGTCTTCCCTCAACACACCAACCTTCAACATCTCAACACCAGAAGAAGTGAAGACCCGAAGACCTGACGATCCACGAAGCCGCCATAAGTCGCCGACAACCAGCGGGATATCGTGAACGACGAACGCCGGCCACAAGTCGACCCAAGCCCGAATCATTCAAAGCCGCAGCCAATCGTCGACCGCCACACGCAACCGGCAGGAGAGCCACGTCGAGGTAGACGGCATTTCAATACGCCCACGGCGTCGTACTCGGAGAACCAGCCGCACACACGCCTTCCCGACCGGCAAGTACCCGCCGCACGGAGTACCAGGAGCCAAGCAGTCGCCGCGCAGCGCCGGTATCCACCGTCGCCGTCGACTCCAACAGTCGGAGACTAAAACACCACCCATACGTCCCCTCCTACGGCCACTTGATCAAGTTGTGTCGAAACCCGGGTCTAGTATATCACAGTAGCCGCTTCTTACGAGTCACGCGCCGTGGTATACTGACCCCGTCCATACGGCGACTGTTATCGTCCGTTTCCCCCCCAAACATTCCCTTCATATTTGTAATTAGGGCCTAGCAATTGCTGGCCGTGCCGAGGTCTCACCGCGCCGGTCCGTCTCCATAGACCAACCGTCACACCCGTGATCCTCGCTGCCCCCACATTGTACAAAATATATTTGTGTAAAAATACAGAATAAGATGTAATAACGAAAACCCCAAGCGTTATTATTTCGGACGCCGGTCCATTGTGACCGTGCCGTTTCAACTTATTACCATACGCATTCTATTTTATCTCGTAAACCAAAATCCACATGGCATCTACTGTGGTACCATTCAGCGCGACTTGAACTTTCCACACAGAATTAATGTATAAACTGAAAATGTAAAAAAATGACTTAAGGCTTTTCTCTTAAAAACCGTCTAACTAACCGATACACAAGACACACGTGAAAGTTAAATGAATAAAAAAAATACAAATATAATTTTTACCCACTTGATATACATTTTTTTTTTAAATAATTATAATATGTATAATTTAATTTAGGTTTGGCGGAAAATGGTTCTAATACCATGTTTGGAGTAATACCATTTTTTATTATTATTATTATATTTGCGAATTGCGTATTGTATAATGACATATTGTGAAAAATGTATTATTATTATATTTGTGACTTGTGTATTGTATACAATCTATTATTAGTATATTAGTGACTTGCGTATTGTGTATATGCCATATTGTAAAATATAAAATAAAGTAACCAGAACTGGCAGAACTACAATATAGCTTATTATTTTACTGTACAATCGACTGTTTTTACTGTATACGATAATTTCTAGTGAAATTCGAAAATTTTATAGATACTGTACAATCATCACTCTTTCCAAATCTGGTAACACAGCGACTATCACTTCATTAAATTACCTTAAATTTATCATACTTTATTATATATATGTATATGTAATCTGTTAAATTGTAATTATTACTAGTTTTAGTGTATTAGTGTGTATTATTACTGTTGTTAGTAACTAATGATAAATAAGGAAAAGTACTTATTGAATAAAAAAAAGGAACTTAGAGATAAAATGATTTCCCCAGAAAAACTGTTGTATCAACCAATTTTCTTAAAAATTCCTGATATCATATAAAAAGTCCTTATGCATGCTTTTTAGTGCACTAAAAGATGTGATATCATAAATAGATGCTAAGTAAATCGAATTAAAGTACACTTATTTTGATTCGATAATTTATTTCAGTACCTATGACATTAGATCTACATATACAATTATGACACCCACCTAATTCTTATAATTACCTTACCATACACCAAGTATAGTTTTTATGTTGTCTATTAAACAAATTTTCATAAAATATAACTATAGAATGACAAAGGTGACCCCTACCTACTAAAATCACCCATGACAATTGTCATAGGTAAATATATATTTTGGCACCACTGATTTATTTACTTGGTGAGAAATTATATACTACACCATTGTAAAATATATGAAGCTAAATACACATTCAGAATTAAATTCTCCACAATCAAAATACCTACATAATTGTTTTGTCTTATAGGTACTTACATGACTACACTATAAATGAGTACCTAATATACCTAATATTTTTTATTTTTATGCAAACAAATGCATTATTTGTAGTCTTAGAGTAAAAATGTTATGCAGTTTTTATTAAAAAGTTATTGTGAGGCACATTTTATAAGTAGGATTTTTTCCATTATAGAGTGACCCACTTGTAACCTACTGTACAGCAGAGCACCTTTTTTATCTTGTTTAATCAACCTTTAATCAGTTTTTTTTTGTTGGAAATAATGTTATATTTAAAACGAAATTTGAATTTGTGGTTTTGGATTTATTAACCTTTATGATCTACAAACGATAATAGTTCATGATGATAGGTTTAGATAATAAGGGGGATACGATGATTTGAAAATAATAATAATTAATATTAATCTATAGGTAATATTAGATATTAAATGGTACACGTATTTATAATTATATTATTTGATATGAAACATCAATTCTACAGGCCACGACTTTCAATTTCAATTTAGATTCATCGACGTTTTCAAAAAATCATAATTGTATCTGTTTACTTTAAAAAAGGTGAAGATAATTTTAAAAAGATAAGTTCGTATCACCACAGCACAATGCTTAAATAGTTTAAAAAATAAATGTATAAGAAGAAACAAGTTTATACATAATATATTATTATATTGTATAAAAATTATTTAATATTAAATATATTTATTTACTTTTTATTAATAGCTATAAGTACATAATAATTAATTAATAAAAAATCCACTTAATTATAAGACAAATTATGTATTATATTAAACATAAGATTTTCCTTCTTGAGATAACTACTTACTACTTGGCATATACAGCTATACATACTTGTTAGTACTGGTGGTGAGCTGATATCAGAGTGATCGCGCTCAAGTGAGTTTTTCCAGTTATCCAATTTTTTCCTCGGAGAGTATTCAATGACAAAAAAAACAAACGATAACAACACAGATCGCGCTCGCGCTGAACCAGTTTGTTATTGTATATTTTTATTACGTTACGCAGTGGCAAGTGCTATTGTGTAGTGTGCTTTGCGAGCAGTCCGAACGATGACTCGGCCGATGCATCAAGACGCCGCCGCCGCCGCTGTTTTACGCATGACTATGGAGCTCCTACTTTTGCTGTTGATGTTCTCCTTGTTGTCATTTCCATCGGTCACCACCGAGTGTCCTGACAAATGCACGTGTGAAGAAAATAATGTCAACTGCTATGACCAAAAACTCGACAGGATACCCGACCACATACCTACGGCTACCAGAGTGCTGTAAGTAGACTATACGGAAGATACTACCAACGTTAAAGTGCAGGGTGTGGTCGTGTGGAGTTTGAAAATGCACTTCGTAATTTACTTTGCCCGAGCATTGCGAAATCTAATTTATCAATAATTTGTTTTAACGCCAGTGGCATTTTTGTGGATAATTTTTGGGCATTTACCGGTTTTGTTATTAAACTATATTGTTATATAATTGGTACCTTTTGAAAATTAAATTATATATATTTTAAACTAAATCAAATTAATTACATTTAAAAAAAAAATTACCTCGTTTCCCCCACTACTGAATACTGCTCAAATACGTCATTGTGTTATAATCTTATGGATTTATAATTTGAGGGGCGTATAATCTTTTCGCGATCTCAAAGCGTATTGCATCGTATCTCCCGTATCGCTCGTAAGGCTCCTAGTATATTGTTTCAAAAGTAGATGAAAAAAATTAAAAATCCATACTCACATGATACGGAGTGTCTTTCCGGGACGTCCGTGATCGTGAATAACAATGCGTTGTGTATTGTTATAGTATCGTTTATTATATAATCACTAGATAATGTATATAATGATCGGGACAAGTTATCCCGGGCCGCGCGGCAGGCTTGAAGAAGCGGCCGCGGCGGGCGGGTTCGGGCCTGAAGAGGCGCGAGCAAAACAATAGTTGGGACTTGCCTATACGTATTGTAGAAATAGTACAATAATAGGGGAGAGTAGGAACCGGCCGTGCACGGACTCGAGCAAGTCGTGTGGGTTCGGTTCTTCCTCGCGGTGAAACTCGAATAAGCTCACCGTAGGGGGGAACGTGGTATTACTTGTCGGCTTGATGAATAGTCGATTGGCCAAGCTACGTCGCGAAGTCGGTTCCCGGCGTGTATTGGTATTCGTCCAACGGCGTGACTGGACTCGATTGAACGGGTGGACTGACAGTAGTAAGTCGCCGGGGTATAATTATATTATACGTTGCCGTCGATGGATTAGTCAGGTCCCGGTGTGGCGGCTATCCGTTGCCGTCGATCGCTGGATGCACACGGTAGGCTTGGCGTCGTCGGTCGGTGAAGTGGCGCTTGTTGGCCAGGTGTGCCGGGTACTGTAGAGTCTCGGCGGTATCGAGCGATTACGCTAGACCGGTGCGTTCAGGGTGCGTTGTCGTGGACTGGCTAGGTCGGATCAGCTTCGCCGGCGTCGTTCAGGTCGATGTTGCTGCTGCGTTGATAGTCTTCGGGTCTTCTATAGTGTTTGTTGATTGGTAGAAGATATGTTGAAGACTGGTGTTGAAGATGATTTGACCTTTGCTTTGCTTTGGGAGGGGTGGCTATGCCGTTTACTATTCCAGGCTTGTGCCTCTACTAGTGGATGGATTTTGGGGTTGATTGGTAGGTTCAGTTATGTAAGTCAGTCCAATTTAATGGGTATGGTTTGAGTAAACGTTTGGTGGTTGGAGGGGAGTGGGTTTTACCTAAGAGGCGGATATGATCGTATTCGGAAAAAGAGTTATTGTAGAACATTGTTTTTGATTGAGAGCAAATGGAATTTTGGATAGATTTGAAGTTGGCTGATTTTAAAAGGACCGAGTTTCTAACGATAGTGGGCATACCGATGATTTGACCGGTGAACTGTCCCGGTATATATACTATTTGTTTCTCTTTGTTGTCCTGTGATTGGTCGAGGGTGGTTGCTTTGACAAGCAATAACCACACCTCGACCCGTTGGTGTTCGCTTTGTTAATGTGGTTTTCGCTTGTCATTTCCGTGAAACTTTCCTGTTGACAAACTACTTATTCCACTATGTCGCGTCTATTACTTGTGTCGTATTATGTTGCCATACTGTTGTGTTAGGTGGTCCTGAAAAGGACCATTTTGATATAGTGACGGTTTATCCCGTTACACACTGCTTTGCTTTTGCTTTGCTTTGGGAGGGGTGGCTATGCCGTTTACTATTCCAGGCTTGTGCCTCTACTAGTGGATGGATTTTGGGGTTGATTGGTAGGTTCAGTTATGTAAGTCAGTCCAATTTAATGGGTATGGTTTGAGTAAACGTTTGGTGGTTGGAGGGGAGTGGGTTTTACCTAAGAGGCGGATATGATCGTATTCGGAAAAAGAGTTATTGTAGAACATTGTTTTTGATTGAGAGCAAATGGAATTTTGGATAGGTTTGAAGTTGGCTGATTTTAAAAGGACCGAGTTTCTAACGATAGTGGGCATACCGGTTATCGTGCGTATGCCGATGTTTTGGACGGATTCAATACGTCTCCAATGGGAGGGGCCGATAAAGGGTGCCCAGGAAGAGCCAGCATATGTAAGTATAGGGGTCACGTAGAGTTTAAGTATGTTAAGTTTTGTTTTCAGCGGAATGGGACTAGTACGGTTAAGTAAGGGGTAAAGCATACCACGGACGCGGGTAGCTTTTTTTGGTTACGTCTTGAATGTGTTGGTTGAATGTAAGTTTACGTCCAATCGTGACGCCTAAGTATTTGGCCTGTTTTGACCAGTTAACGGGTTGGTTATCGATGGTTAGAGGTGGAATGTGGGTTGTATTAGAACGCCCGAAGAGGACGCCTACTGTTTTGGTCGGGTTTATTTTGATTCGCCACCTGTGGAACCAGTTGGACGCGAGGTTGAGTTGGTGTTGTAGTTGTATGGTTGCACGTTTGGGGTTTTTATTACTAGTAAAGAACATCGTGTCGTCAGCGAAGAGTGAGAGATTGGCTTTAGGAGTCGTTGGAATGTCGTTAATGTACGTCAAGTATAGCGTCGGTGAGAGACAGGAGCCCTGAGGGACTCCTGCGAGTACGTGT